TTTTATTTTCTTCCTGTAAAGATTCTTCATTACATATTTATATCTTTATATGTAAGTGTGTATGTATATGAAATAATAAATGTTTGTTTTTTAAGTTTGCTTATAATTCCTTCAACAATTCTATTGCAATCGTTTTGTGTGTAATCTGCGTAAAATTTTTCCATTTTTCCATTTACTTTTGCATTTATTTACTCATTCATACTTTGTCGTCCATACTTCTATAAGATGCAATTCAAATACATACACATATATAGAACTAAATAATTAAAATTATATATACAGTTAAATAAATAAAAATTAATAAGAAAAAGAATACATATATTAATTAATATTCTCCGCAAAAAGAATGAAATTCCGGACTAAGAGCAAATTTATTATTATTAACAAATAAGCACAGTATAGTCGGACAAGGCTGACCAACTTGTATGGAAATGAAAAACAATCCGTTCAAGTTATATGGACATGAAAAATAATCATAATATTCATGAAAAATAATCATTTCTATACAATTTCATTGGATTATTTTTCATTTCCATGCATCTTCAACGGATTATTTTTTATTTCTATACAACTTGAATGTTATATGACCATTAGATAAGACCAAGAATGATGTTAGCAATGAGCTCTACCATATTCCCGCCATAATGGGGACGGCACCTCCAATTCTTCTATTTCCAAAAGTGAGAGTAAGCGTATATGATTGTTTACACTTTTCAATAATTGAACATGTGTTTGTCTAAAAATTGCCAACATCTGAGAGTGAGCGTTTCTTATTCTCAATAATTTGTCTAAAAATTGCTAACATTTAAGAGTAAGCGTCCGAATTTGCCATCATATGAGAGTAAGCGTATATGATTGTTTACACTTCTCAATAATTGAAATTAGACCATCCTACACCAATTCGCCTATTATTCGGCGTAATAATAATACAACAAAAATTACACATTATCTTCATGCAAAGACATACTTTTCACTAAAGCCCGCATATGACAAAAACATCTGATCATGCGAGCCGAATTTATTATTCTTCAGTTTTTATTATAAACATCTGGAAATAAGACTTTCTCTCCGTATACGGGGTTCGTTTTCATGATAACTTCTGCATATGTTAGGGTCTTAAAGATAGACCTGTGTGATTTAAATTCTATACCGCTTCCCTACTTTCTGCTGAAGTAATTGCTGTGCATGAGAATTCTTATACGAAGCGAGGCCCAAGAAGAAGGGTCATGTGATTCAAATTGTTTTCACTTAATTTTTACGTCAAATTACTATCGTGAACGAATTTTCATCATAAACCTTAGGCCTTTTTGGATTTAAATTTTCTAACATTCCTACGGTTAAGTTGTGTTTTTACTGCAACAATAATTTTTACCGCAAAATATTAAAAACTGCATCTTTTAAAAATTCGTCTTCCGCAGCAACGGTTCTATGAGAAAGTTTTCAACGAATTGCCCCAGCCGAACCAAAATTGTTCGAACAATTTAGACTGTGTAACTAATATTAGAGACAAATTTTAAAGATTTCAATTTTTTTCTGCATAACGACTTTTGTACATAAGGCGTTATATGCGAAGTGGTCGGAAAAGTAGACTGATCCGGGCCATTTGCAATAGTGTTAATGCCTTCAGTGTACCAAACATCATCGAAATATTCCAAAAATTACGATTTGTACGTTGAACACGAGGATACGTGGGCATATATCATACGGACAGACAAACTTAGATGGGTTCAGAAAATATTTGTGAATCGATCGGTATATTACAAGGCTGGTCTGGGTGCAAACTGAATGTACCCTGCTGTGGTGGAGGGAAGAAAAAGTAAATTAACAAGACGAGCACTTTTCCAAGCAAGCAAAGCAAAATAAAGAAATCAAAAATGATTTTCAAGAAAAACTAAGCCTTTCAATTACCCTAATAAATAAAATTTAATCAATTTATATTTATGAGCACAAAAATCTTTTGTGTATGTAAATCAAGTATTGACCGGTTGTAAATAAGAAAACAAAATATGTGTAGAAAAAACTTTTCTAAGCACGCTGCAATAGACTTGCATATAGAACAAAGTAGAACATGTATTCAGAACAGAGACAAAAGTATCATACAAAACTTTTGAGAATAAACACCAACACAATCAGAAAATTTCTTGTGTTCTTCTTTCTTGTGTTTTTCTTCAGATATTTGAAAGTTGGGACATTTTTATTATTCATGTAAATATACATGTACGAAACAGTAGAGGATATTTACGAAATATGGAATATTTGCCGTCGGGGATATTTTTTATGATGAAGGATATTTACGAAGTATGAAATATTTGCCGTCGGGGATATTTTTCATGGTAGAGGATATTTACATCATGAAAGCTTTCGCCGGGAAAGTGGCTCAAAATAATCTCGCAGGCTGTTTGACATCAAAGAGACAGTTGCGAAACTGACGCTAGGGCACGTGCTCAGCTTCCAATTCTGGGCCTTAAGAGGCTGCGTGCCGCTTTACACCGCACCATTTCAAAAGATCCGTACCATTTCGTTTTTTAACAAATTACAGGTGGCCTCACTCCAAGCGGCAATAAATACAAACAAGCTCCCGGGCATTGATGTCGTCCAGGCACAGGGTTCGTGCAACTTAATCAGCAACATCAAGAAGTTGGCGAAAGTGATGCACCGGAGATCCATCAACAGAACCTGGATGGAGCAAAAAGGTGTGCTGGAAAAAGTGGCGAATTATTTAGAGGGGTGTTTAATGGCGGACATGGTTGCTGTTGATACGCGACTTAGCAAACTTCATTGAAGATATTGACGAGCTGGTGTAGGCTTACCCTCGCATAACTATAGCGCCGTACAGGGTAAGCAAGGACCCGTTAGAGAAGGTCTTCTGCAACATAGCGGTCGGCGTCAAGAAAAGGACGAGGTCGTCAATAGAGATAATGGAGATTTTGGGACGACTGAGGAACTTCCAGGTGTCGCATTGGTCTGGCGACTTTAGGTCCGGCGACGATTATCTCCGACTATTATCTCCTCATCAACAAGATGGACTACAAAATTCCAGTCGAGGCCGAGGAAGAATTCGTGCCATTCGGCCTCGGTGGGGAGGTATTCGGTGACCTAGTCCTAAATGAACGTTATATCAGAGACGAAGGCTACATGCGGCTGCTCACAGGATACGCCATAGCACGGAACATCGGTGATCAGCTGGGTTGTCAGGCCTGCGTCACGGACCTAGACCAGTCTCAAGAAGATGCTTACAAAATGCAGTCTCATATTAATTAATGAATATGAATAATTAATTCAATATTATAATAGCGAGCGAGAAACAAGATATGCAATAATAGCGATATGACACTTCTCCGCTCTATGCCTCCGCGCCCCCCGGTAAGTTTACTATTTATCTTTATTCCTTGTTATTTATAACTTATTTACTTATTTCTATTTAATTTAGTAGCCACTGCTGTAACCATTTATACCATTTCAACCAGTAATATTTTGTAAAAATATTAATGATATCTTACGTTGACAACACAATTGTATAAAATGGGCCCCTTTTCAAAGCACTTTCCGAGAACAGTACCACATTGTGGCCAACAAGCCAACGCGATGACGGTAAAGCTGCGCAAAACCACATACCAAAGTGTCACCATAAAGCTTCTTGAATTCTGTAAAACGGCTGCCATCTACTAATCGGGCAATAACTTCGCGAATATCGAAACTTTTCGTCAAATTTGGACCGACAATGCCGTACAAATCTTTAGGGTCATATCTTGGCTTTTCGATTGGTCATCACATCACTGCTCTGAGCTATTTTAATAGTTTCTTTGCTGGAGTACATTAAATGATTATTGTGGACATTGGTTGCTGCCATATTCAAATTGCTAACAACTTGTCGCGTCAAAAAAAATTTGGTTCTGCTCATACATATATATACTCTTATCAGGTGTCTGAAGCTGTCTTCTGGATACTGTAAACGTCCAAATGACAAAATGAACATATGAAAGCAGACTTTACCCAATAGTTCATAGTTCCGTGTTGGGCGAAGGTTTTGAAAAGCGTGCCACCGGTCTTCTATTAAACAAGGAACTTAAATATTTTTCACAACCTTTGGATAGTCCTCCCAAACCTTTCCTCAAAGTCGCGGATAAAACTCAGTTAAATGGTAATCTATTGGACAAGGTAAATGAAATGATTATCGACGGAGGTAGTGTGTTGACTGGTTGCCCATTACAAAAGAACCTAAAATAGTAAGAACTAAAACTGAATTCTGCAATATGTTCGATATCAACACACAGCAGCGATCATGATGTATTTATATATATTTTTTATGCATTTATGTGTTTATTTATTATTTATATTATTTATTATAAATTTTGTCATTTTTAACAGTTCGTCTGAGGAAAATTCTCGATTATCCAAGCGTTGCAATTTACTGAAAACAACTCTGCGCTCTCTCTATCCTCTATCAAGGGCAAGAGCGCCTGAAACCAATTTAAAAGCTCCGGCACAATATTAATGAATGAATGAAAGAATATTTTGACTCCCATATTTTTTAGGACGAGTACATTGTACGGCGGTTTAAATCAATACGATAATCCATCTTTCAACACCATTCCCAATCACAGCGCGTATTCACATGATGATTTAATGATGT